GGTGCTAACTATTACTCTTTGCTCCACCATGCTTTAGGGAATAGAAAATGAGTAACTTAATTACACGTCTTTGTATGCTAAGGCAGTCTCAGAAATGCTTCCTAAGAAAAGTCTTGACTTTGCTTACAATAATACTTATGTTTTATTTACTGTTAGTTCCAGTTATTTGGTGGAAACATTGAGAGGCTTTAAAGCAGATAGCCTAGTGTGGATTCTATAAATTAGTGCTTAGCTAAAGATAAACTCTTCTACTTCCAGTCTGTGGTGGAGAAACATTCTTGGGACAGGCTCTAACAAAAGAAATTAATCAAAGTCGTCACATAAAGAGAATCAATATCAGGAAGAAGATGGTAAACAACTGTGTTCCTATTCCACTGAGTGCTATAGAAGATTAATTTATAGCACAAGGAATTTGAGGTCACCATAAGGAAGCAATTGTTTATCAATCTGTATAATAATTATCCCAAGGAAGATTATACTATAGATATTAGTATTAGTGTTTTTAAAAATGGAGTTAACAATAGGATTTCAGTTTAGTTTCCAAAGCAAATAAATAGATAATCACTTTAATTTTTTGTATGAATGATTCAGCATTCACAGAATTCTAAATTTAGGCTTGCAATTAAATATTGCATATGGAATGGCATAAAGTTTTTACGTCAAACTGTTCTCTTTTCTTGTCATGATGAATTACCTATTAAATGAATAATTCAGTTGTATTTCAAATCCATTCAGCATAAACCTTCTTTTGTTATGTTTGCTTAGAAGAGCGTTGTGTTGAGCAGTGTCTACTTATCTTGAGTATAAGAAACCTGAGTTCTGGCAACATTTTTGTCACTGTACCTTTAATTTATTATTATTAATTTTCTATATGAGTAATTTTATGTGGTAAAACTATTCAGTAGTTTATAAGTTATATAAAAATGCCTGGAAGCTTCAAGATTTCTAATTATCTTGTAAATTGCTCATCATGCTCATTATTAATCCCTGATCTATTATTCATAAGAGTATATCTTGCGAAGTCCAAGGAAGCCTTGGTATAGCCCCTGGCTTTTTTGCTTTTTAACTCCTAATACTAGGTTTCATGTATAAGAAGTTTTTCTTGCATGTGCAGAACAAACTAGCATTTTCAGTACACACAGTTCTCCTAGTCTCTGCATAAATGCTTACAGAAAAATAGCTGCTAAATCCCAAATCCTTTGCAGTTCACAAGTGTAACTTTTTTATTGTTGTTCATCCAGAGTACCTGAATGAAAAAGTGAGTTTCAATTTTTTTACTGAAGAGATGAGGAATTTTCATCCATGTCAGTACATTGGATAACTTATACAAGTCATCAAAGTGAGTGAGAAATTTCTCATGTAATTATGGAAAATCTTGCCTTTTAAATAGGCTGTTGCCTAAAAATCAATACAAATTACTGTCTGACATGTTCTCTCAATCACAGGTATCCTTGTTGCCCTACACTGTTGATTGCTACAGATGAGAAATGTTCATTGTTTAGATGCCAGAGAATCAATGTTAAAAGTTTGGCTTTTTTAAAATGGAAATTCTACTTATGCAAATTGAAGAAAAGACAAAAATACTAGTTTTGAAACAAACTGAGTTAATTTATGAATATATATACTTTAATGATATTTTGTGGAGAATGTCAGTTCAAAATTGGTTAGTTCGTAAGAAAAATATACTAGTTAAATGTATTTTCAAACTATTTACATTTTTTTAAACTTTTTTTTATTGAGTTATAGTCAGTTTACGATGTTGTGTCAAATTCCAGAGTAGAGCACAATTTTTGAGTTATACATGAATGTACATATATTCATTGTCACATTTTTTTTTTTGCTGTGAGCTACCACAAGATCTTGTATATATTTCCCTGTGCTATACAGTATAATCTTGTGTATCTGTTCTACACTTTAAAATCCCAGTCTGTCCCTTCCCACCCCCCACTCCCTTGGCAACCACAATTTTGTATTCTATGTCTATGAGTCTGTTTCTGTTTTGTATTTTTGTATTTATCTATTTATTTATTTTAGATTCCACATATGAGCGATCTCATATGGTATTTTTCTTTCTCTCTCTGGCTTACTTCACTTAGAATAACATTCTCCAGGAACATCCATGTTGCTGCAAATGGCGTTATGTTGTCATTTTTTGTGGCTGAATAGTATTCCATTGTATAAATCTACCACATCTTCTTTTTGCAGTCATCTGTTGATGGACATTTAGGCTGTTTCCATGTCTTGGCTATTGTAAATAGTGCTGCTATGAACATTGGGGTGCAGGTGTCATTCTGAAGTAGGGTTCCTTCTGGACATATGCCGAGGAGCAGGATTCCTGGGTCATATGGTAAGTCTATTCCTAGTCTTTTGAGGAATCTCCATACTGTTTTCCACAGTGGCTTTCCTTGCTTCCCTCTCCTACTCTTACTGATTTAGATGTCTTCTTTTACAATTTTGTGTTTATTCTATTTGTAATTCATGGCAGTTATCTCCTTTCCAGTTATGAGTTTCTCATTTTTGTAGCATCCTGCTTCTTTTCTATTTAGAGTAGACCTGTCAATATTTCTTTTAGCATGTGTTTAGTGTTGCTAAACTCTTGTAGTTTTTGCTTGTCTGTGAAGTTCTTTATCTCTCCTTCTATTCTAAAGGATAGCCTTACTGGATAGAGTATCCTAGGCTGCATCTTTT